AATTGGGATGGGAGTGTCAGAGACAGTGCGATTGGCACAGGACAGAGCGGAGTTTAGGGCTGTTGTACATAGGGTCGCTATGAGTCGCAGGCGACTCAACAGCACATAACAACAACCCTAATTACCCCAGTCACTCAATCAATCCATCTCATCGAGGGTCTTCCTCTCCTGCGCTGTCCCTTCACCCTCCAATCCATCATCTATTCCATCAAAAAAATAAACTGCCTCTTCTTACTTAATGCTGCTCGCCCCAAATCACTCTTCGCTTATTTCATAATTCATACCATTTTAATTACTTCATCATAACCCTTGTTGCTATTTCAAATGATCTTATCTATTTGTTTGTTGCCCGACTCTTACCTTTGAGCATATGCTCTGTGAGAGAGAGCATAACATCTGTCTTAAAAAAATGTGCCTTAAAAATTCCTGGGCTGTAACAGATATTCAATAGGTATAGATGAGTGAACGAGTGACTATTGTCAGACTGTTTGCTAGCTTTATAGTTTCTAGATGAAAATATATAGAGATAGGTATGAAAGTGTTGAAACTTTCTGAAAAATCCTGTTTTAATTGTTTGAATCAATGTTTATCAAGACTACATGATGTAATAAGAGAGATGCAAATCAAAACCACAATAAGATACCATCTCCCTCTAGTAATAGTGACAAAGTTTAACAGGACAGTAAATAATAAATGTTGGAGAGGATGTGGCGAGATTGGAACTCTTATATGTTGTTGGTGGGATTGTAAAATGGTAAAACCAGTCTGCAAGGCAGTTTGACACTTCCTCAAAAATCTGAAGGTTGAAATTCCATACGATCCAGCTATTCCACTGCTTGGAATATGTTGTCGTTGTTGTTGTTATGTGCCATCGAGTCACTTGAGATTTATAGTGACCATATGTACAACATCTCTAAATCCTGCTCTGTCCTGTACCAATCTTACTGTCTCTGACACACCCATCCTTATTATCCCAGTCACTGAATCAATATACCTCATAGAGGACTTTCCCCTCCTGTGTTGTCCTTCCATCCTCCCAAGCATGACATCCATCTCCAAGGACATTCTCTCCCTGCAATATGTCCAAAGTATATCAGAAGAAGCTTCAGAATCTTTACCTCCAAGGAGCAGCCTGGTTTAACCCTTTCCAGGATGAACCTGTCCATTTTCTTTGCAGTTCGTGGTACATTCAATACTCTTCTCCAGCACCAAAGCTCAAAGGCATCAATTCTCCTTCTGTCCTCTCTAGTCATTATCTAACTCTGATACATAACAACTGACTGCAAAGACCATGGCCTGTTTCAGACACACCTTAGTCTCAAGAGTGACACCATTCCTCTTCAGTACTTTGGAGAGGTCCCTAACAGCAGACTTTTCAATCACAATACGTCTTTCAATTTCCTGGCTGCTGGTGCCAATAGTGTTGACTGTGGAGCTAAGCCAACTAAAGCTGTGAACAATCTCAATCTCTTTACCATCCCTCCTGATGGTGCCAATTGGTCCAGTGGTGAGAATCTTTGTTTTCTTGATATTGGGCCTCAATCCATCTTGAAGGCTACAGTCCTTGACCTTCTACAGCAAGCACTTCAGGTCCTCTTCAGTTTCAACAAGCAAGGTTGTGTCATCTGCATAACACAGATTGTTAATGAATCTTCCACTAATCCTGATGCCGAACTTCTCCTCATACAGCCCAGCCTCCAGGATAATCTTTTCTGCAAATGTATAGAGACAGGACACATCCTTGATGCACACCTTTCCCAATTTTGAACCATGCAGTGTTTCCTTGCTCTGTTCGGATGACTGCCTCCTGGTCCAAGTATAGGTTTCACATTAGCACTATCATGTGTTCTAAGATTCCTATTCTTCTCAGAGTCAGCCACAGTTTATTATGATCTACACAGTCAAACATCTTTGCATAATCAATGAAACACAGATATACATTTTTCTGGTATTCCCTGCTTTCATCTAAGATCCATCTAACATTAGTTACAATATCCCTGGTACCATGACTTCTGGCTGGACTTCTGGCAGTTCTTTGTTGATGTGTTGTTCCAGTTGTTTTTGGATAATCTTCAGCAGAATCTTGCTTGCATGTGATATTAATGATATCGTTCTATAATTTGCAAACTCTGTTCGATACCTTGAGAAAATGAGAACTGAGGCACAAATGGAGACTTGTACACCACTCTTCATAGCAGTGTTATTCACTATCGCAAGAACATAGAAACAGTCCAGATGTCCAACCACAATCAAATGGATTAAGAAATTACGGTACATTCATACAATGGATACTACACAGCACACAGGAGCAATGTTTGGTTAATTATTATCTATCTTGGGAGGGACTGGAGAGCATTATGCTGAGTGAGCTAACTCAGTCCCACAAGGACAAATGCTATATAAAACCGTTATTGTAGAATATCATATTCGTGAGGATCCAAGGAGGGGGAAGGCAGAAGCAGAGAGATGAGGATGTGTGGGCCTGAACAGGGGCAGGGAGTTGTACAATGTGATTGCTGGGGGGGTAAGGGAAATTGGAATAACATTGTTTGAAAAACAATGTATTCTAATTTTGTAAATAAACTAGTATAGTAATTTTTTTTAAAAAAGAGTATATAGTGTAATATAAATGTTGTATGAAAATGAAAAATACCCTACCAACCAATGTATGATAGGCAAGAGAGAAAATACAAATTTGAGTCATCTCCTCCTGAAAGAAAATTTGTATGACAACTATTTTGAGTAATTCAACAGGGGATAGTTTCCCTTTTCTCCCTTAAACATGGCGGTCACTTATTTGTAGCTTCATTTTTGTTTATTTGTTTGCTTTTCTTCACCAGGTATAGGGACTGAAGTCCCAGAAAGGTACAGCTGTGTGAGTCTACAAACCAAGCCGATTTCAGTCAATAAAATCAAGTCCTACAGCATCAAAGAGGGACCCGCGAGAGCCGTGATGTGAGTTCTCTTCTGCCAAAACCTCTGGTCATAGTATATTTAAATGCTTCTTTCTTGTGGAAAAAGAAATAAAATAAAGGAAAGCCTCAATTTAACTAGAATATACTTTTCTCCCCAGTATTAACCCTGTCTTTACAGTGCCATGGAGTAAAAGATAAAAAATGTGCCCACTCATTTAAAAAGAAAATTACGTTAGACTTAATTTAGCAGAAGAATGGATACATATGCTCGGTTCTCAGGGCTCCGTTTAGAGAACACGTCAAGTCAGGATTTTTCCACATGCCACACTTTTGTGGGATGCTGAGAGCTCGGGTAAGGTAGAGTACCACACTGTGCTTGTCAGTTACTATATATACTTCAAAGCAAAACATCAAAACGAGGTTATATGGTACCACTCTCCGTCCAAGATCCCATTTTCAGAAGTATTACATCTTCTCAGTACATAGTTGCAAGCTTGTCCAAAGAAATGATTATTAATCACCCTTTGTTCTAAAGAAGAAGAATTTGTTATATTTAAAAAGCAAGGCAGTGTAATTGACCAACTAGTGGCTGTTGAGTTGATTTGGACTCATAGTAGCTCCAGGTGCACCTAGCAGAATTGTGCTCCATAGGATTGTCTATAGCTGAGGTTTCAGAAGTAGAGTGATTACCAGGCATTTCTCTTCGCCGCCCCTCCCCCGCAAGAGGTCCCTGTGGGTGGGTTCAAATTTCCAATCTTTTAGCTCCTGAGTGCTTAACTATTTGCACTAAATAGGGAGGGACTCCATACCATGACTCAGCAACCTTAGATTCCTAGTTTGGACAAAATGGTTGGCAATGCTGACAAAAAAAGAAATTTGTGAATAGCATGAATAAAAGACATTTCTCCTGTATGTTAAAATAGATGCCAGAAGGATGGTGTCCACTTGTGGTCTTGTAGTTCTGAAAGATTATTTCTTCAGTGAGTGGGGTAATCGAGATGGATGGGTCAGAGGCAATGAGATTGGCACAGGATAGAGCACGGTTTAGGGCTGTTGTACATAGGGTCGCTATGAGTCGTAAATGACTCGACGGCACATAACAACAACAACAACAATTTCTATACAACACCTTTTCATGTATAGTCTTATCTCCTGGCTCCAAGGTATCAGAAATGTTATTAACTGTCTTTTCCATCTATTACAGTTTTGTCACCAGACGTGGCTTTAAAATCTGTGCTGACCCAGAAGCCAGCTGGGTGAAAGCCGCAGTTAAAAATGTGAGTAACAAGTTCACAACCAGAAGAAACATGCTCCAGACCAGCCCTACGGGAGCCCAACAATCCACCAACACTACTGTGACCATGACTGGGTGACCTCGACTTTCTGGCACTTTGTTTTTCCTGCCAATTAACCTGCTCCTTTCCTGTTATCAGTCTATGGACGAATTGGATTATATTAATCTTCCAGGAAAATATTGAATGAATTAAATTTTATATTACATATTCTTTTTTCTGTGACTCACTTTCATTTATTTATTCTAATTAATAAATATTTATTACTAAGAATAGCCTCATAGTTCATTCAATATACATTGTTGTTGTTATGTGTCATCGAGTCGTCTGTGACTGATAGTGACCCTATGTACAATAGCCCCAAACCCTGCTCTATCCTGTGCCAATCTCAGTGTCTCCTATACATCTACCCCCATTACCCCAGTCACTGAATCAATCCATCTTATAGAGGGTCATTTTCTTCTGAGCTGTCCCTTCACCCTCCAAACATTCTTATCCAAGGACAGTTCCCTCCTTGCAACATGTCCAAAATTTGTCAGATGAAGCTTCAGAATCCTTGCCTCCAAGGAGCAGCCCGGTTTAACTCTCTCCAGGTTAACTTGTTTGTTTTCTTAGCAGTCCATGGTATATTCAGTACTCTTCTCCAACACCACAGCTCAAAGGCATCAATTCTTCTTCTATCCTGCCTAGTCATTGTCCAACTCTCTGATGCATAGCAAGTGATTGCAAAGGCCATGGTCTGTATCAGGTGCACCTTAGACTCCAGAGTGACATCATTGCTCTTCAGTACTTTGGAGAGGTCTCAAACATCAGACGTTCCCATCCCAATACATCTTTTAATTTCCTGGATTCTGGTGCCAAGAATGTTGACTG